TCTTCTGGGAAAGGAACTGAGTGCTGATGGTTAAATTCATGCAACAAGAGGCCGCAATGTCTGAAGAGTACAGCTGGTGAAGAAAAAACGGGAAAAAAAACACCCCAGCATACACACTCAGAACAATACATGTGGAATGCTGATACTGGGTGTAGTGTTCCTTCATGACAATGTGCATCCACATACAGCTGCTCACACTTGAGCATTTCAACTGGGAGATGCCTGACCACCTTCCTTACAGCCCTCATTTCACTCTGAGTGACTACCACCTGTTTACCTATCTGAGGAACTGGCTGAGACCACAGCACTTCATCAACAGAGGTGACAAAAAAATGTCAAAACATGAATGAGCTTTGAAACACATATACAAAACCTTATCCTCCAATAGACAAGTGCCTCAATCCTGGTGGTGACATTGAGAAGTAGCTTAAGTATGAACATATTTTTTCAATATGAATTTTTCTCCACTGCTTGTTTTCTTAAATTCACAAGAGGTTACTTCCAAAAGAGCCTTTGTATAACATGNAATGATACGATGTGCATGTCGACATAATTGCATATATTCAGAATTTATTTTTCAGAACACAACGTTCCTGAGACTGGATTCTGTCTCCACCTTCAGGTAACACCTACTCAGTTGGGCCCAATCATTAGAGCTGGTCCCTATCTCCAGACACCTGTACCAGCCCCAAGATGGGGTATACAAGCCAAACATAGCACAAACCATCTGCAAGAACTAAGAAAATATTAAGTTATTAGAACTCCATGTGTATAAGGCCTTGCACAACAGAAATCATCACTGTAGAGAAGCAATACTCCTTATGGTAAAAATACACACACAAAAAAACACTTGTTCATGTTGCAGACTCTTTCTGTGCACTGGCTGGACATGTTTCTACAATTCACTGCATGTAGTCTTGTGCTTTTTGGTTCGTTATATGTGATGGTGTTTCCTGCAGTTGGTTTTGTTATTCTGGCATTACAATCTGAGGCTACTCTCACAGTAAATGCCTGGTGTTTCTTTAAATTGCTCTCTTGGAAATACGAATAACTAGACGTATCAACTATAGAAATCAGTATCCTATGTAACTATACGGTCCTACCTGCTTGAAAACTTCATAAAAAGCCCTACTGAACAATATCAATTTACAACTTACATAAAAGTAATCCCAAGCAACTTCAACTCTCAGTATCCTACTGCATTCGGGTAAGTTACCTACAAATTCCATTCATAGCTGAGATTTGCTGCTTTAGACCAGGTGCTTTATTTTGATGGAGGCATTAATAAAAATTACTTGTCTGAGAGTCATGGAGCTTGAGGAGCAGATATGTACTGGCACATAAAGAACTGCCACACAATATCACTCACATATTACTAGATATGTCATGATGGCCACCGTCATCCATTCTCAGAGGCATTTTTGATACATTACAATCATTCCTCCACAGTATCTCATGAACCAGTTAGACTCCTAAGGCTTCTGTAATTTACTCATAGAATATCAGTAACGCTGTACCCCATCAAAAATGTACTCCATATCAGGGCTTTAAATTATAAATAACTTATGCAGGTAATTGGGTTAAATCTTTTGTGATGGTATAAATCTGTAGTGTCCACTTCCCGGTGCATGGAAAGTAATTGTACTTAATCTACACAACTAGAATGCTAAGGAAATTCTTTTAGCTCTACTAATCAGTTAAAACCTGTTATTAATTTATGCATTAAAAACAAGTTCTATGCCTAATGCAGGCACTCCATGCCCAATCAACAAGCATGTTACATCTTTGTCCTCACAGGGTGGAAATCTCGAAAATTTTGTTATAAGCTGCTCTGGCAGAAGGGAAAAGACATTCAGTGATCACCAGTCAGCAGCTAGAATCATATACATTCACAAGTCATTTGGTACTACCTACCCGACAGCTAGTACTTCTGAAAACAGAGAAATCAGTGACTGACATTCAGTTCAGTAATGACTTGAGAGAAATTAGTTTCCATCAGCATTACTTTGGGTGTAACTTGTACAATCTGTTTGCATCATACAATGGTAAGTGATTTGTATAACTTGATTAGTGTGATGGCATAAACATTCATGAACAGAAGTGAGGTGAAAAAAGGATGGCAGTGAGAGTTAAGCCCCTCACAAGCCACTCAATGCAGAAACAAACTGCCAACAGCAAACTTAATTATCTGCTCTAAGAGAATATGGACTCATCTACTCTGGCATTATACAAAAACTGTCTTCTGTGCATATACCATCATATTGTTATCGAGCTATACTGGAAGCATACATTTGTCGCACAACAGAGTCACCAACGCTCATCAGGATCTCTAGCATCTGTGCTCACTCTTCTGAACACCATGTTGCTCATCCCACTGAGTGACATTCAGGCTGCTTACACACACCAAGATCCAGCATCGTTGAAAGGACAAAATTATGTAACCTGACTACCCATAACAAAAATATACAGAGTATACCACTCTTAGTCGATAACAGTGGCTGCATGGTCTAAGGTATGAACTGTCTTCACCCATTCAAACACTGGGTTATGGGTTCAAATCCCACTTGAGGCATGGACGTCTGTGTGCATTTATTCTGTGTTTGTGATGTCCTGTGTGTAGGTAGCAGACTTGCTGTGATCACCCATCAAAGGGGTCCTATGACTGTGTAAAAGATCAAGAAAAGGAAAAGTGACCAAGGTCTGTAAAAGATCAAGAAACTTAAAAAGTGACAAACATCCAACAAAGGGCTGTAGAGCCACAGACAGATAACACTCTTACATTACTCAGTTTGGTAATCCTGAAGGGAGGGTTACTAGGAGACACCAGCATATATGTGATGAGATTACAAAATGGATCTCCATCTTGTGAACATGGTAATATGCCTTTATGATCCAGAAGAGGCAGAGAATATCTGAATGGCCGCGGCTTCTCAAGGACTCTACTTCATTAACTAACATGGAGCCAATTTCAAGTCCTGTGATTAAGGAAGAGAATGCATACAATTTAAAAATAAAATGTTCTATCATTAGAATCATAAGCAACATTTGAGAGAACAGCATTTAAAAAACAAGCAAATGTTATGCTGTAGATATAAAATGCAACACCAAACCAACTTACATTCTTTCTTACCAATTCCACTTGGTTCCTTTGTCACATAGCAAAGCAGCTCACCATGCTTTGTCTCACACCGGAACAAATCTGCAGTTGATTCCATTCAGGTTCCTGGTAAGAAAAAAAAAACTCAGGTTAGCAAATGAAAGAACCCAACATTCTCATCAATGCAATATAGCAATTCAAAACTGTGACATGCAAATGAACGTCAAAATCAACAACTAAACACGGTTCTATGAATTATACATTTTCACATTATACCCCAAAATATTCTGCTCATATTGATTAAATATAGAAAGTCATACCTTCTACTAAGGCAATTTATATATTCAATTTCATAATTTCAACATATGTTCATATAGCACTCTTTTGCTTCTGAGAATACAAGTTTGGGACATAAGATCCCAATTAAAATGCCAAGAGAGAATCAGTCATGACGCAAAAATACTTTTAATATACTGATATCCATGGATATGTTATGTGCACCATCACTTCAAACCAGTAATACATGGCACTTCATTATATTCTCAATTATGTATTCTTGAAACTATTAACATTTACTGGCACCTATTCTGCCTGAAATTATTATATGTTCCACAATTAGTTGATATATGAAGAAAACTTTTGTCTCTTTCCTTCAACAAGTCTCAAATGTAACAGCTTACTAAGCTTACCAATTACATAAAGCTGACACCTGCAGGCAATTCAGATATTGCTTTCCACCTCAATCAAAACCAAGCAACCATTAAAAGCATAAATATGGATTTTACTATCAGTAGTCCTCTAAAACCCAGAGATATCTCACACAAAATTCTGTAATCTACAAGTTTATATCAGCATAACTGCAATAATGAAGGGGCTATTGAATTTCTGAGCATGGTATGAACACACTATGCCCACAGAATATTTATAAATAAACTTTCTGAGAATGCAGTTTTGTGAGTACCATACTAAAATCTTTGGTACTAAGATGCAGTAAAAACTTAAGATTCCTAAAAAATATACTTTTATATTGTTTAGAATATTCAATATTCATATGCGCTAGAGTATTCTCAAATGGCACTTCTCATGACTTCCCATTCTCTGCTGCCACATAAAAGTATCTATGACCTACACACATAGTAGTGCATTAAAAAAACGAACTCTTGCCACTCACCTGCCTGTGTTGCATGTTATTACATGTAACTATTGTGCCCCCTTGTGTATCAACTTTGTTTTCAAGCCTTCAATGTGGTGTCTCATTTAAAACACTTTTTCTTTTCTTGTTCATTGCCTTGCTTAAAGAATCTTAGGCCAGCTATAAATAACACTGTATTAGTTAGGTATAAAATAACACACCAATGTTGCAATATAAAACTGGGAGCAGAAATTATTTTAACTCGAAACCTATGGATCAGGAAACACTGAACCAGAAAAGTGATGTAGGTCCTTTTAATTTAAGTAGTTTTAAAACTGCCAAGTTTTCTATAAGATAAACTGCATGTAACAATGAAACTTGTCCTCCAGGAACTTAAATCTAAATAAATTCAACTGAATTATGAGCTAAATTACAAATTATCTCCTGGAACAGGATTCACCAAGCTTGCCTAATATAGGAATTCATGCCTTTGGCAATATTTCATTATTTACATGAACTTGCTGAATTTAAATTTAAATGCATACCATGCCACACAAACCTCTGATTTATATTGCAATGAGCAAACATTGCAAATGTTTTCCTTGGCCTGTTATAACCATGCTGATACATATTATGAAGTAACACTCATTTTGTGTTCATACTCGTATATTGTGTGGGCAGTTACTTTAATCTATATATAAAAGGCTTCAGGAAAACAGGTAGGAAATAAACTGTATTCTGCAATACATATTAAGCCACAGATAAAAACAATATAGTAAAGGTGTTTCCATATTATTATTTACATAAATATGATCAGCACTAAAAAGTGTTCATATTAAGAATTACATGATTAAAATGTGAAGCTGTATCAGTATTTCAGTGACAGGAAAGAGACAATTTCATAATAAATATTTTCATACAACTTGTTACAAAACTTCCAGCTTCTAATCACATACACTATCTTGTGTAAAGGAAAACTCGGTATTTCAAAGTTGGAATGTTAAAAAACCTAATCTTGTTGTACAAGTTAAATGTGCTGTATTTCACAAATGTAGAGAAAAACAATAATACTATCAGAATACACCACGTAGCGTTTCAGATTTCAACAGGGTGTTCCTCCACCTTATGGTGTTCTACACTTACAAACACCTCTCTTTTAACTACATTAGATATTAACATTAATTCAGAAGGACAATGAATGCACACAGGACACACAATAAGAGTGGCTTTAAGCTAGAGAATGAATTTCTACATAATCCCCAGATGGAACATTAACTTCTAATCCATTCTCAGTAAGTCAGTGGACTGAAACTGTTCAACCCTAAATAGAAGATTAATTTTCACTTCCTGCATCTTAATATCTTGAGTCCAAAACACTACAATTCATGTCTTCCATAAGTCCTCATCAATTGAGACAGAAAAAGAAATAGGTATGACCTTATTTTATTTTAAAAAAATTTTTAAGTCCATCCATCTCTTCAAGTGCAATGGCAAGATATATTTCTTGTGCATATCAACTTCTTTTACAAGCCTTTCTGATTGGGTTGTTTGCTCCACACTGAACATCTAATACCACTGCACTGGTTGACCCAGTCATATGAATTTAAACACATTTTAAGCCCTTTGTTTGTCATATGGCTAGAACAGCATTCTCAATTCTTTGTACTAAGAGGCCTACTATGAATGGCCAAATCTTAGTAGCGTCGTTGTGACTGGCCACCATAATCGCGAGACTGGCCGTAGCCAGCTGAACTGCCACCTGCAAGCAACGCAATATCAACACACACAAATTATACTGATTTCTCTTTAACATCAAACCTCACAGTGATAACAGCAGATTCAGTAAGGGACTATTATGTGTAATGAAATGTGCAAGGCAAACAAATGAAAGCGCTGATGTTCAAGTATCTTCGTTATCAAGATACTATTATCATCATGAGTACAATTAGACTGATTCCTAATATAATCCGTACTCAACACAATATGTTAACCTATCAGATAAAATGTGATTTCTAGTGTGCCAGCTATGAGAATAGTGCTCTTTAGTTCATATTTTCCTGAGCTGATATTTAAGCCTGAGCTATGGTTGAGCTGAATGACTACCTAAAAACCAAGTGACACACATTAACCCAAATACTCCTCATAAGAAGGGCTACATTACTATTTATTCAGTAACAAAGAATTAGAATAGAATTAAATGAGAATACACTAAAACACTTCCAAGAATGTCCCATATAAATTACTTACATCCAGATTTAAAAGACTGGATTTAAAACAGTGAACCTCTTCCCCACCGTTTCCAGAATACAAATAAATCTATATATATATATTGTACAACTTTTATCCAGCAACAGTGTAAAAAGCCTAGCCAAAAAGTTCCACATCTAACATTCTCAAGGTCAAACCACAGGCAAAAGCAGTCAATTCACCTTAAAACTTTCTACAGTCCCCTGATAGTAGTGATTCCAGCACCACAAAACAACTAAAACTATCCTTTAAGGATACCACACTTTATGTTACCCCTGGCAGAATGAGAAATGTCACTTCTTTCAAAGCAAAATTCACTCTGGAGAATGGAGAGAGGTAACTGGTGCCAAATAAAACAAACAAAAATGGGTATAACATGGGATCAATGTGAACCTAAAATGTGAAGAAAGCTAAGTGGAGAATCAGAGGAAGATAGTGCTTGCAAGTGACATGGAACACTGGTATGACCCAGGGGATAAATTTTGCTAAGCTTCTCATTCCCATACTGGGTTACAACTGTTTACAATCCTCCATGGCAGATACTAACTTCTATGCAACTTAAGTTATAGTAAATGAGAGTACCACCTATTCCTCAACATGCAAAGTTGGGCAAAAAGTGTATGCACCCTTCTGCCTGGCACCATGTTCAAACAAAAAATGGAAAATCTCATTCTGATGGCTGGCTTTGCAAACACAAAAACAAACACCACCAATTTCATGACACACTTCTGATACAAGGCAACCATTCTAAACAGAAAGATGGATAAGGGCTGCCATCCTTGATACTTGTTTTAACATTCATACAAAGGCCAGTTTCCCCATAAAAATCCAATCCCAGAACACTTATCACAGTTGACATATGTAAGAACATTAATTACTCTAGTAAAATTTTCCACTCAGATATCACTGGGAAGAGGGCAACTACAATTACATTTTGAAATTACTAAAACTCCAATCCACCTCAACAAAGGATCTCCTTAAAACTCCATAATTTTACACACATACGAACATCTACTAGTAAGAAATGACCAACCATGTCTGAGGAACATGTGATGTAAGAATTATCTTCTAGTGATACTGAAAGTAGTTTGAATTCAGAGAATCGAAACAGCGATGATGGAATCAATAACATATCTGAAATTATGCTACAATTAATGACATGAATATGAGTGAAGATTGTCCTGCCATATCTGTGACAAGTTTCTAACATCACTGAAAGGTTATACATCACTCAAAGAGTACCACCCATCCAAATTCTTTGCAATTTGGGATTGGACATTAGAACAATGATGCATATGGCAACAAGCTATTTGGGGCACTTTCATGCTTGCACTGCCCCAAGACATGACATTCCTCTCTGCATCTACCAGACATTATGAAAAAACCTGCAACTGTTATAATACTGATAAGGCTCTACTGAAGCATAGCATGAGGATGCATAATTTTCTCAACTGTTCTGCACTGGCAAAAACATTAACTGTTCATAAAATAGACTGCTGCTGCTTTGGAACTGTCCAGAAAAAATGTTCTAAACTGTGTCAAAAGAAAGCTGAGGATGGTAAACCTGGAATGGTAATACACAATTATATACAGCCACAATACAGAAAAACAGTCCAGCTATTGTTCAGGGTGCAAATGGTGAAATGCTTTATATTCAACATGGGAGTACTGTTAAACACAAGTGGCAAGCCAACATGTGTCACACAACGGTGCTGCATATAAGTGAAAGACATGTATTTCACCAAGAAGATATGGTCAACTAAGAAAGGCTCTAGAGTGCAAAAACACTGACTTGTCAGCTCCAAAGAGGAGAAATTCAGCATTTTCTAGTATGAGAACACAAAACCTCTTTCTGTTCACCACACATCTCACACAAACTGATCTGGTGAAAACTGTAACGCTGAACTGATCTGATTGTTTTGAAGGCTACAGCACCATACTGTGGCTACAAGGTCAATAACAAGACAGCGCATACTACATTATGCCCACAAAATTTACTATGTGCATTGAATTTCATATCAAATAGTTTCTTACATAATTTTATGCTCAATCTATAGGATAGGAAGTGGATATTTTAACTTTTTCAATGGTGGTACAAAGGTTCCATGTTAATATTCACGTGTAAGCTCAGACACAAATGAGTTCGAAGTCATGCAAAAACTGTTACGTAGGACCAGCAATATAGAATATATATTTATCAGTGAGAAAGCAAACTTGAAATCTATGGAACCTGAAATCCAATAGTCAATATCAAGAAATGAAAAAAAAAAATGCCAATGCCTTGACCATCTGCTAAGATATGAAAATGATCTGGTGATGCATGGGTTTAGGAGTTTAAATGGAACTGTCTTAAAGGGTACAGTTCACATTAGACTGGTTCAGTGTACTTGGGTACTGCTGAAGGACTAGCTCAATCATTATCGGTATAGCATTTCTGTCAACAGAGGGCAATGAGGGTGACACACCAAAGTTTACAGCAAGGAAGGAGTTTCATGGACATACAGCTTCTGTTCTTTGTAGGTAATTAAATGACAGTATTGTAAGTTTGTTCTGTACCATTGCATTTACCCACAAGCAGCATTAACATTTCTGACAGCTCCAGGTGATGTTAGGCAGTCAATGTTGCAATATACCACCACTAACATATGAAAGAAACCACCTTACTATGGATGAAAAGAGAAGATCTAAAGTTCATGGAACAGGAGGGACACTACCCATGCTGGGTTGGTGGGAAAACACAATTTGAGGTAAAAGAACACAAGAATGTTCAGAATACTGAAAAATGTACAATAAAAATAAAAATTCATTGAGAAATCTTATTATTAATTCCCCTCATATATACTGAGAAGGGACACACTGTAGCATAGTTGGTTGAGGTACAATGCTACAAGCCGGAAGGTAGCGGGTTTGATTCCCGATGAGGTCACCAAATTCTTTTCAATTAATGTAATCCTTCCAGCTGCACTATGGTCCTGGGGTTGACCCAGCCTCTAGCAGAAATGAGTACCAGGAATCTTCCTGGGGGTAAAGGGGAGACAGTGCATAAGGCTGACAACCTCACAGCCATCTATGAGGAGACTATCTAGAAAATGTGGGCGCCTCAATGTCTCACAACTCTATGCACCTTCACAGCCTGTTACAGGGATAGCTTTTTCCTATATACTGAGATACAGTGACACAACTGCAATGCTGACCTAGTGCTCTCAAACCCACTTCCTTCTCAAGCTTGCTGATTGGTACATTCTCACAATGTAACCACTGCTGGCATGGATTAGCACCTGCATGCTTTCTGTGATCCTTGAAGGGCCTGTTATAAGAGCCTGAAATATGTTACTTTCGGTTCTAAAATTTGCAGCCTTTCCAATACAGTTGTCATGATTAATCGCCAGCAAAGAAATTGGCCATAATCAAATAAACTGTCAATACAAATGAATTTACAAACAGTGATGATAGTATTCACCCTCTCACAGTAGGTACAAAGGAAAACTTTCATTGTACAGTCTCTGAGATTACAATGTGTCCAGACTGAACCAATCAAAGATCTATATAAATAACATCCAATAAATCACAAAAATTTTTGTACAAACTTCCACTATTTTTAACAACACTGAAATGTCATTCCAACAATTTTCAAGATATCTTCAAGTCTGGAACTATACATCAAAACATTAGTAACTAAAGATTCATTTCAAGCACATATGACATCACCAGTTTTTTTTTGTGGCAATCCTTACATTAAACCTTAAAAGACATTTCCAAGTTCACACAGCTCTAACTCTGTGACGACAATTGAATTTTCCCGTTTCTTCAAATCAAAACCACAGAAATATGAACTTCTTATATGATGAAAGTATTTTTTAAAAATTTACCTTAATCCTGTTGATTCAGTAAGTTACCCAAATACCTGGAAACAAAATTAAGTGGTGAAAAGGTTCACAGTTCAATGCTTAAATTCCCATTGCAGCCCAATTTTTCATCTGAGAAGTCCAATTCTTATGAGACCAGAAAGATCAACGTAATATTTAATTACATTCATGTTACCTCCAATTCTGATATACATATATTTTGTTAAGTGCACTCAAGCAATGCACACTATTCCAAACACTGTCACTTCCTAGCTACCTTCCTGCTTGTCCAGTAACTGTGGTGTACTGTTTTTTCTTTTACTTTATTATATGTATCTTAACTTTGTGCACACATGTAGACCTAGTTTCCGATAATTACACTCTCAGGAAAACTTGTCAACTGAAATTATGCTACCATATACTTCATTATGAAATAAGATATCAGCAAGGAAACAATCCAGCTGCAACATTAATGTGCCTTGCTCACTTACAGACAGCACTGTTAGTCATATCCAGAAAACTCAATAGGATTCAAAGTGTAATTTCACTTACTAACCAACAAAAGCAATTACCCAAGACTCTCACATTGTTTATATCCCAACTCCAGCACACACTGTACCTGAATTTATAATTAATCTGAAAAAATGTTTTATACACATTTCTAAAATTCCCAGTATGCATTATATGCCATCATGTATTTCTCTTCCTTCCATCTCAAAAGATTTGCTCATTATTATTAAATATTCTGCCACCAGTATTAACAGGACCTATGATATCAATCTTCTGTAAAGATCTGATCATAACTGTTCAATACTGCAACTATTAAAATAACTCCTCAGAGTTGTATTGAAAAGATTTAATCACGATTTAATTATGAAATTATGAAAAATTACCAGAATAAACATTCTTAGCAATGTCCTTTGAATTCATCATTAATACTGGAACAGATTCACGACAAAACACCTGTACTTAGTAATATATTAAGGATTCATTCAGTATCACAACTACTAGAATGTTAAGAGCTTTCATCAGCAATGTTCCATACAGATGAATCCATTATGACTACTGAAACATTAATAGAGCAGCTTTGCTTAGCAATGTTCTGGATGGATACATCTAATCACTGATCAACACTGTGACTTAAAATAGTAACTTGATGTCTTTACTAAGTGATGTTCTTAAACATTCAATCACTATTCAATATTGGGACCAGTAAAAATGTTAACAGCACCCCAAATATTAAATTCATATTCAACGCTGGTATTACTAAAATGTTAGCAGAATTGCTTTACTTGGCAATGTTCCGTAAATACTTAATTATTACTCAATATTGGGCTAGTAACTTAACAGAACAACTTTATTTAGCAATGTTCTGTATTTTTCTTATTCAATAATGTAGTACTAAAATGCTACACAGACAAGCTTTAGACATCAATGTTGTGTGAACACTCACCAATACTAGGACCACAAGAAATGGCAATATAATTGCTTTCTTTAACTGTTCTGTAAATATTTCTTATTCAACACTGGTACTACCTAAATGCCCTTAACAGAACTGCTTTACTTGGCAATGCTCTGTAAACATTCTGTAGTTATTCAATACCTGGACCAACAATGGTAACATAATACCTTTCCCTCACAAAGTTCTGTTTAGGCACCAAGAGTTATCACTTCGTGTAATTTAAATAATTCCTCAACACATAATGTACGCCCAACATATTTGTATAAAAGAATGCATAAAAGACACCATACAGAGCATTAATTCTATATTTTATGGCACTTTATAACATCCCTGAACAACCGTATAGCACATGCAGAATGCAATATCCTCTTAAGGGATACAGTGGGGCTGTGCCATAGCTCAGGCGGTTAGTCGCCGGCTTCCCATCAAAGCAGCCAGGTCAGGTCATATGGGATTTGTGGTGGACAAAGTGGCACCAGGGGCAGGTTTTCTATGAGTACTTCAGTTTCCCCTGCCAATTCTCATTCTACCAACTGCTCCACATTCATCATCTATAACCCAGGGTTGGTACAATAGGCCAGTTAGTGGCTGAAGTACTAACAGCACTCAAGTCTCACCCCACCTCAAGAAATTAAAAAGAACTAAAAAAGGGATAGTGGCTTAGAGACCTTAGCTTTTGACTTAAAAAAATATATTTGATCATACTCACCATATTCCGGTTTCCCATAACCTCCACCATAACCTGGGGTTTCTGTAAATGAAAATGAAATCAACTACTGATCCATACATTCATTCGTTCACTCATCCACTACGTCATATAATAAACAAATCACAAGTGAACCTACTGTACACACTCTGACCTGCTAACTTTTAAACGCAGAACTAGCTCCACATATCAGCCTACATTCCGCTCTGAATAAAAAGAGCAGGCTTATAAGATCATGCTGTCAGGCGGTACCCCATTTTCATCTTCTAATCAGTTGATACTTTCACACTTTGTATGAACACCAGCATTAGAGATCACCATAACACTGCAACTGTTAGGGCACACCAAGGAAACTGGCAACTGCAACTTCCAAGAATTGTTATCAGCCTCAGTTGAACATGTTACTGAATGTAGTAGTGCAAACTGAGGAAATAATGCAACTTGCCAAAAGACTGAGAAACTCTTTCAGGCAATGGCGCATGCAAGTCTTTTCACAACTGCATTGCCATGTGGTTTCCTAGTGTCATCTGTTCTATGATGCGCTTCAGTTATTCAATTGTTTCTTAAGATGGCATGAAAGGTTGATGAAATTGCTAATTTCGTTTTTGAGCAGTTCAGCATGAACCTGGTATATATGACAAATGTCACCCAGACTATGCTAGGCAGGACAAAATAGATTTGGCTTAGGATAGAATTTCTTATGAGACAAAGGTGTCTGGAGCCAGCTTAAGTTCTTCTGAAACTATAGAAGTACCTCAGTTTAAATTGTTACAGAACAGATGCACCCAATGTTTTCTTTTCCTACTATTGTATTTAAGCATCCTGTTGCAGTAATATATCATGGTCACCCCTCTTCCACATCACATGGTTCGGCTATATACAGCCATCATCAGGTTTCTTCTATCTTGCTAAAATTGTTGTGCTGTATGCCAAAATTCTGCATGGAGTTTTAGCAAGATATTTAATGATTAAAATAAACTGACCTTAATTAAAACAAATTAACACAACAACATTTTCCTCATGCTTGCTGTTCCCTCTTCTCACGCAGTCTCAACTACAACCATAATATGATACGATCAGTATTATCATCTTCCAATGCAGAAGTGCACAAAATTGAAAGACAATCAGGAATTACGTGAGATGAACATAATCACTTCAGTGGCTGTGAGCAATTCTTCACACATAAGTTCCTCAGCGTGTCTGCTGATCTGGAAACTAGTTGCCTGCTTGAAAGTGGCAACTTTTCTCAGAAATTGTGTCTGCACTGACTGCAGTTGCCAGTTTCCTTTGTGTGCCCTCACCCTTAATAGCCCACAGCAATAATAATATGGCAAATGAAGCTACTGAGTGGCAGAAACACGGCAGCCACGTTATTTACAATCTTGAAACGATGGTAACAGCTCTTAAAGAGATAGCAACTGTTTCAGAATCCCCTGCTTGAGGGGAAAAGCATAAACACATTGACGCCATGCAAAATTTTCTTTAAGCTATCAGTCTGATGGCTGTTGACTAATGAACCACTGCACCTGAGCATACAAAATTTGATGCTCTGAAGTATATCTGACAAATTTAACATAAATAAATTCCTCACAAACATAAGAATACATTTGTAGAATTAAAAATCTAGGTATGCAATAGGAAAATACGTATGTTTTGAGTTCTACTTGGAATTCATTGTTTTCACATTCTCTACACCACTGAATTATTTCTGTGAATTCACTAACAGGCTGTCAAACGCAACTTCCTGCTTTACTGTAACACGTTTGATAACAATCTTCACTGGCATATGTATACTTTAATTATAATTCTAAGTTAGTAAACAAAATGGCAAATAATCCAGATAACAAATGTCAGAAGAATAAAAATGTATTCGACAATCAGAGTTATGGCAAATAGCCTTACTTAACTACAGGGGATGAACAAAAAATATGGAAACACCCAACAAAAAACATTACCATGACTAATACGGTGTAGGACAACCTCTGGTTTGCAGTCTCCTTGGAATGGATAAACAGAGGTCCTGTATGATTGCAAGGGAATCTTGTGCCATTCTTCCTGAAAAACATGTTAAGTTCTGTTATCGATGATGGAGGTGGATAGCGCACACACAGATTGCTCTCCAAAACAGACCACAAAGGCTCAATAATATTGATTTCTGGCGATTGTGGGGGCCATGGCAGACGTGACACTTCATCTTCGTTCTCAGAAAACCAGTCCTGGTCGATGTGAGGTATGTGAACATGGGCACTGTTGGCTTGGTAAATTGCATCACCATTAGGGAACAAAGTTTGTACCATGGGGTGGGCCTGGTCACCCAAAATGGTCACATAGTCGTTGGCAATGATGTGACCTTGAAGGGTAATGATGGGTCCGACAGAATACCACGATATGGCTGCCCATACCATGATCAAACCCCCACCATGTTCCCTTTGTACTGTTTTGGTGCTGACAGGGTTTGTGAGCATGACATTCAGTTCAGCAGTCACTTTTGCAGCTGTAGTCTTCTTATTTTTCGTCACAATCCTACGCAATGTTCGCCTGTCTCGATCACTCAACACACATTTCCGTCCATGTTGGTGTTTATCCGATGCAGTTTTTTCAGTCCTCTTGTATGTGGTCATAATCTTGGATACTTTGCCTCGCGATACACCAAAAACCTTGGCTACCTTGGTTACGGAAGCGCCCACAATATGGGCCCCACCAATTTGCCCGCGTTCGAATTCTGTTTGCTTTGACATGATGCACAAAAAATTACACAGAACACTGTCTCGACAACAAATGAAGCTTGCAACATATTGCGGAGGTTGTACAGGTAGTGGTGTTGGGCAGATACGACAGCGTGACCTACAAACGTCGCTAAAATAAACACTTCAATTGAGGCATGCATTTCACAAGGTGTTTCCATATTTTTGTCCATCCCCTGTATAACCATTGTCTGGGATAATGCTGATAACAGCATGGCTCAGCCAATTCCTTATGTATCTATCATGAATGAATTAACTGAAAGAAACACACACACACAATATAAAAACAGAAGTCACAATTATCAACAACACAAACCTGATAACACGTTACAAGATGTATTAGTGTGTGCAGATACTGACACTCATTATCCATACACATATGCACTATTTGGTAATGTGACCAATACTCTGCAAAGCTCCATTTGGAGAAACATCGCCCATCCACACACATGCAACCTCGCGATCAACTAAAGCAACAGAATGCTCGAATACAATACTATCATGGGTTTGTGTGAATATTCATTGCATCTCGAAACTATATCCAAATTTAATGCATTTTACATAGAAATTATGCACTGATCACAATTTCATCGAGCACAATTTTCTTATCAACGTTAATCACATGATGCAAACATGGGCACAAATTTTTGTTTTTCATCCTGCTGTGCCTATATATTTAGGGGTTTTTATACCATTACACAATACGTCCATCCTGTTATGTATTGTAACGTGCTTTGCGTTACTGATCCCACTTCTGACACCAGTGNGATTCTGTTATGTATAATAAGCAACTGAACTGAATATATCAATAGATCAATTTATTATATTAATACACCACATTCCTGTCATGGTTGACCATCCTCAGGTGTGTGGATATATATAAAATCATAAATATATTCTGCTACAGTACTGAATATATAATAAAACTGGGTTCATTTTGGGTGTATAGTTAAGTTTCTTCAAATAGGCATTAAAAGAATAAAAATTGTAAAATGTGAATTTATTCAATGGTAACTGGGTGGCATGTTTATGTTTTGTGTGGATTTACATTTTATATTTATACTGTGATGTGCTGCCTAGAAGCCGGACTATGCAGCATATTTCAGTGTTCGTTGCTGGTCAACGGATGTTTCCTAGACAGCAGAACAAAATGCAGCATTGGAATTCTAACAGTGAGTTTCCACCGTTACAACAAATTGTTCGAAGCGGTATATGACAACGGGAAAACCAAACTGTTGAGAAAAATGTTCCATAAGCGGTCAACAAAAGACCTATTTAAGGGGGGCGAATGGACCAGACAGAGTTCTGGAAGTTGCTGATAACAATTCAGTCTGGCTTCGACTATAGTAGAAGCAGTAATTATGACAGTGTTGTAAGAAACATCTGAGGACATTATAAGTGGATGATAATTGTGCATGGAAGTGTAGAACAGTGTGACCAATAAACACATTCGCTTATCGGAGATCTGTGTCAATTATTTGTCACGTTACATAGCCATGATACTGTCACGTGTAGGAGGTTACACACGATGAAAAATAATGGGGTATAACCTTGGTTACAATCTCTCTTAATCACATTTAAATTTTAAACACCGAACTTTTGAAATTGTGGCCGCTTGAGCTGCCCAGAGTTTATTTAAATGCCTGTTGCTGGTGCACTTTTAAATTCCCACTGTTGCTGCGATTTTAAATGTCCTCTCCCGTTAAGGCACATGCACTGTCATTTGAAAATGCTGCTATCTAATACAATTTTTATGATAAATGAATGAAATTAACTTTGTTTTTATTAGCAAAGAACAGTGTCGCATAATGTAAACTCTGAAAGTGCGTAAAAAAATGCTATAAACTTTTTTCAAATTTTTTCTTGTAATTTTGATGCATACTGCATAGTTTTCCATTTCTTCACGTAGTCCTTCTGCATCATAAAATCATTCCTGCTTGTAAAACTTGAAATATTTTCACATTCTGTGGTGCCATTAAACAGCTGGAAGCAATAAAGTCATCTGATTCTCTGCTGATAAGTTTCATATCTTTGTTACTCTTCAGATATTCCAGTCTTTTGACTAAAGGAGAGAATGTGAAAACATGGCCTTTTAACACTTTGCAGACCGCGCATGCATTAATACGTTTTTCACTTTTAAACATGGCTGACCGGTTGCGTATTAATACATTTTTAGAACACGATAAGCTGCAACACACCATACATCGCTCTGACGCCACCCAGCTTGCACGTAGCTGCCTGCAGCTGCGTGATAGGCCTCTGGAATGTTTGCTGACTAATCAGTTATGCGACCTTGCTGTAACTGTATGCCCCTTCAAAAGAAAATAAATGCCTTTATTTCTTCAAGCTGTACATAGCAAGGTGTCAGCAAGTAGTGCAATATACGAACATATAATCCTGGGAAACTTACAAAGTATGGCCTACGTGAAGAAAGTCGTCTTCTGGGATCTGGCGCCGTGTATTCTTTGTTTCAACCGACGTTTCGGAGAAACGTATCACCTCCATCTTCAGGGCAGTTGAATTGCGTTGTGAATACAGATAGCAGTAGCTGTAATGATTAGGAAGTGAAAAGCACTACTTTATATAGGAATTAGGCAGGGAGGGTGGTTAGGGAGAGGGGACCAATGGGAACAGCGAAGAGCGATTAAGGCCATATATGATCAGAGGGCGAAGGGTGGGGGGGGGAACAGCCAGTGAATCCAGGCAACTTGGAGATCAATGGCACTGAGGTTGCGGTTAGACAAGAACCAGTTGGCTGGGAACAGGCTACTGATGTCAATAACATGAAGAGGAGTTCGGGTGACTTGGTGGAGTTCTCTTGAGGGAAGAGATGAGAGGCTTCCATGACTTGCCGAGACACAATCCTCTTTAATTGTTCATGTTGTTCGGATGGAGCTCGATCTCAATGGCCTCCATGATGATGCGATCCAGCTAATGGCTCTTACAGGAGATTATGGCGGTTTTGTGAAACTGGATACGGTGGTCTAACTCAATGCTGTGTTCAGCTACAGCTGACTGGTCCGGACGACTTTCTTCATGTAGGCCATACTTTGTAAGTTTCCCAGGATTATATGTTCCCTTCCAGCTGATAAATTTTGCATGCGTCTCATCTCTCACATATATGCTACAATCCCTGCCTACTTTATCCCCTGCTTAAGACTGCGCCATAGCTCAAGTGGTTAGTTGCTGGCTTCCATTGTAGCGGCCCGGGTTTGATCCCGGATCTGGTCAAGTAGGATTTGTGGTGGTCAAAATGACACTGGGGCGGGTTTTTACGAGTACTTCGGTTTCCCCTGCCAATCTTCATTCCACCAAATTCTCCATTGTCATAATCACCTCGGGCAGGTACAATAGGCCAAGCAGTGGCCACAGTGCCAAGTGGACCTAGCTTGACTCCACCCCACACCCCACTAGCAAATAATAATTATAAAAATGTTTATCCCCTGCTTTCATCATCCTAATGCCCGCATACCTCATCCACCACTATCAGACATTTCCTCTGAAGTGTAGGATTAACCCTTTGACGCGGTCATTTAAATTTCGCGGCCGCGTCTCCGGTGGTAATATATTCAGCCGGCCATTTAAATTTTGCTCGAAAATGATTTATTCATCATTGTTCTTAAATTNGTAAGGGGTTAAGCCATAGAGGGAGCACAAGAGACCACTGAAGGTCGCAGTACAAGGGACAGATTTTATGGCCCGCCCCTTACACATACTACTACTAGTGCATACCAACACCAGTCATTCCTGAAGGATGAATTGGTTTGAACTATCATTTTGAATAAATCATAAGATAAGCTGAACAAAGGTCTACTCCAGTACATTCAGAAACTGGAACACTGCACTCCAAAAGCACTTGTTACTGAACAATTCTAACAGGCACATCTACTGGTATGGCATTATATTTGCAACTCCCTGCTCTAAAGCACCCAACTGTAATGACCAGGAGCCCTACTCTAACAAACTCCTCTGCAGTCTGAAACTTGGCTGTCTTAATGACTCTCTCAATCTGAATGACACTACATAGTCCAGTAAGTGGTTACAGAGTGGCCGCGCCATAACTCGAGCAGTTAGTCACTGGCTTCCCACCACACCAGCCCGGGTTCAAACCCAGGTCTGGTCAAGTGGGATTTGTGGTGGACAAAGTAACACTGGGGTAGGTTTTCTATAAGTACTTCGGTTTCCCCTGCCAATCTTCATTCCACCAAATTCTCAATCATTATAATCACCAAGGGCAGGTACAATAGGCCAATCAGTGACCGCCGTGCCGAGTGGACCCAACTGGACTCCACCCCCCCACTATGCGAAGTGGTTACAGATATTCTGCAAGAAAATGCTGCTTCCAGATGACTGACACAATTGCTCCTTCTATAACACCAATAACCACCTAACCAGCGCTAAGATCTATTTTCATCAGTGCAAAAAACTCAAATCTCACAACTTTAATGCCTTGCACTCCATAGTTAATTACCATCTTCATAACTTTTCAAGCATTTAGTCAATTCTCATATTATGAGTTTCCAAGAACTATGCTACACAGATTATCATTAACATCAAAAGGCAGTACCAATCAACATAAAAAAAATTCCACACGGTATTCATACCATAAGTATTTGTTGATGTGGAGTAGCCCCTGTCATCATATCCAGAGGCTGTGTTGTATCCTGTTCCGCTGGAATAACCTCCGCCATAGGCCTCAGGAGCTGCAGCTGCAATTGAGGAAATAAACAAATCAACACTTATTCCATTCACAGGAGAGAGAAATTTTGAGGTTTATTTTATCAACTGACCCACAATTTACCATCATTCATCCCAAACCTCATCACAGATCAAAACCAATCAGATAAATCACACACACACACACACCTTATCAGTAGTATCAAAACTTCATTAATCACTAAATTCCTAACTTCTGATGCCAAAAAAGAAGTCTGAATATCCATCCACAATGTGAAAGGTCCCTGTAAATGATAAAGCGAACTGAAACAAATTAGCTTAATCACCAATGAAGACGATCATTAAACATTTGTTACTGGAGAAAACCTGTAATCTGGCAATAAATGCAGCAGTGGATTTCTCAAATCTGGTAAAACTGCGACAAAAATTCAATTTTTAAAACTTGAAAGCATGTCTATAAACCCAGTGATCACACCTGCTTGAGAAGGAAGATAACATACTAAATTTAACTTCGTGAATTTCCCCTTCTACACCTGGAATCTTGTACACTGTACTAACGCAAACACTAGGTAGCACCATAGCTCAAGCAGTTAGTCGCTGGCTCCCCACCACGGCGGCCCAGGTCCGGTCAAGTGGGATTTGTGGTGGACAAAGTGGCTGTGGGTTTTCTCCGAGTACTTCAGTTTCACCTGCCAATCTTCATTTCACCAAATTCTCCATAATCATAATCACCCAGGGCAGGTACAATAGGCCAATCAGTGGCTAATGTGCTGAGTGGACCCAGCTGGACTCTACCCCCAATATGCAAATTAAAAACGCAATCACTGCCACAACTTCATATAACCCTAATACACAGTCCATTCTAAAGGGCTCTGATGATCATGCATAACACTCAAAATCACTGGGTTCTTGGACTTTGTCCAACATCCAGTATTAAAAAAAACACTAGATAAAACATACACAAGGACTCAATTTCTGAGGCTGAACAATTTCTCAAATAATTTCAAAATGTACAATCTTCTAATTCATACCTATCATGAATTAAATGATTATTACCTTCATCTGTTTATTAAGAATTTTTAAAACAAACACAGCAGACCATCCATTCCTGATACTGTTAGTTTATGCATACCCATTAAGTTACCCTCAAAATGTTCTACTTTTATCATCATGCAAAGGTTAATCCTTCAGTCAAACATGTTTCTATGAAAAATCCTGTCTCCAGATAGAATGATACATTTAATAGAAGTTGATTTCATTAACTTAAATTATTAAATCCATTACTAACACATATTAACAATGTCCAACATCTTTCCCTTCAGACTCTTGGTTTTGTTTGTCATTTAATTTCTAGCACCCTGTTTCTTCTTCTTCTTCTTCTTTTTGTAACATACTGTCATGTGTTGGGTATGTGAAGTGACAAATACAAGGTGGTTCAAATATGACCGCCACTGATTTGTGTGTAAACAAGCTGCACTGCGCAGCAGCTGTGCGACCTTGAGAAAGTGAAGCCACAACCTCCACCCTCCCTCCTGTTCGGGTTAGAACCTGTTCAGTCCTGCCTGGGAACTTGGAGTAATGCTGTCCATCAGTATTGGTAAGACATCATGAAATACCACCTGCACTATCGCAAAGTGAATGCACAGTGGGTACCACGCATTTTGATGGACGTGAACAAAATGGTGTGCATGCAAGCTACCAGTTGTCTCCTACAGCAGTTTGAAGATGAAGGTGATGCATTTTTGAAGTCTATAGTGACCACCGATGAAACATGGGTGCACCACTTCATTCCCAAGTCCCAGCAGTCATCACTCGAGTGGCAGAATACCAGTTCTCCGAAACGTAAAAAGAGCGCGGAGGAGCCATTCAGCAAGAAAAGTGATGGTAACATTCTTCTGGGGCTGGCAGGGGGTTATTCCTTCAAGACAATGCACCCCCCCATACGGCCAAAACAATGGAAACCCTCTGGAAATTGAAATGGAACCCTCTGACACATCCGCCTTAACAGTCCCAATTTGGCCCCAAGTGATTTCTACCTGTTCAGAACGCTCAAATCAGACTTGCAAGGCATGCTGTTTGTGGACGATGACGCCGTCATCCAGACTGTTTGGGAGTGGACACACCGCCAACCACAAGCCTTTTTTGAAAAGGGCATCAGGATGCTTCCGGAACGTTGGAAAAAATGTATCGACTCCGGAGGGGAGTACGTTCAAGACTGACATGTGCCAGTATTTGGCAATTATGTTTATTTTAAAAAAAAAATTAGTCCCAGTCATATTTGAACCACCTTGTAACTTCACACCGTTTTGGATCTAGCAAATTTATTGAACACTCACTCTTACACTTACACAATTTCACAATTACTGCCATCTGCAGTATCACAATTACTTCTGCTTTAGTCACTGCCATTCATTCAATACAATGTAACAACAACTCGTGGCTGCTGGGCTGCACCTCATCTCTTCGAAGGCTGGAAACAGACTGCTAATGCTCAACTAACTCCGGCAAATGCTAGACTGCAACTGCACTCAGCGACTGCTAGACTTCCAATGACTTCCTTAGGCATTCCAGTGTCTCCAGACAGTTTCTCAGCCGACAGCAGAAAACGCACCTTGCTTCCCTGTTGCATGGTCGCCGTGTTTACTGACTGCCTAGCAACAGTCGCTGCATGGGCTTGCCTGTTGCGTGACGTCACAGCCTAGAGGGGAGGAGTGTTGACCAAGCGTTGCATAGTGATGGAAGGAGTGGGGGTACGTTACGTCACTCGTGGAAACGCAGAGTTCATGTGACCCCTATTTCCTGTTGTGCCATCCACATTACATTATACAGTAAAACTTGGTTATAGCAACATCGGTTTCTGCGACACCTTGTCTATTGCGTCAAATATTCAATGGTACGAACTAATTCCTCATAAAGCAACTGTTTTTATACCTTGCTTAGTACGACATGCACAAATGCATCAACCTCGTATGTAACGTCATTTTCATTCCTGAATTTCTCTGATATGGACATTGAACGTAATTTAGAAAGTGTGTATTGGGCAAGTAACAGGAAACAGATGAAGATAACTGATTACTGTACTCGTATCTAGGTACAGTAAGGCACAACAATTGATGTAATCTACTGTAATTTGGTGAGTAGGCCTACCTTTAATATACAGTATTAGTGCGGTGTGTATTGTCAGTGAAAAGCGCTGTAATATGTCTTTGATATTACACATTTGGGCAATTCCACGTTAATGTTACGTTAGTCTGTACTTAACTACGTATTTCACTAAAAAATGCAACATTTTAACTCGGTTTTTGGTAGATTTTTACGTGACTGACATAAGGCTACTGTGGAAGTGTCTATTTCGGTTACAACAACATTCGTTTATAAAGACACTATTTTTATGTTCCTTTGATGACGTTATATAACCAAGTTCTACTGTATTTACATCTTTCAATTTACTCTATTTTATCCACAGCATTTGTCTGTAATTGTCCTTTTAGCTGCTGTCAGGATCTTTAATAAGTGAATCCAAGTATTACTCAAGAAAAACCACACAGTCCTAGTTTCTATCTGTGAGCAATTTTCATATCACAGAGATGCAGAGGGAATGGTCAAAATGAAGAACTCACCTGGTTTACTGTAGGACTGGTAGGTGTCCGGTTGAGTGTATCCACTGCTGGCGGTGCTGGGAGGCGGGCCATATCCCGTCCCAGCATCAGGAACAGGTTGGCTGTACCCACCCGCTGTATAATCTCCCGCTTCATATCCTGTAGCACCACTTGTGTAGCCACCTCCATATGCCTGACTTCCACTTCCATATGCCTGGTTTGCTCCATATGGTGGTGCCTCAGTTGAACCATCATAATGGCGACCAGCTCCATCAGCCTGGTAGTTATGGCCGACTTCCCCTCTGTTAACATTTTGATTCAATACTGACATCCTTCCATGCAATGAACCCAAAACAAACAGGAGGCCAACTGCATGTGCTTCAAACCATACTAAGCTTCAATCTACTTGCAAATTCTTGCAACAAGGCCTTGTGTTGTGCAGATAACTGCACAACTTATGAAGCTATTAGATACAGGGACCCTTATGTTAAATAATCTGGCCTATCAAACCAATTGCACTGAAAGAGAAAGCAGGTGGGCACCAGATAGGCCTACTGGGTTATGTAATCAGTGAGTCACTATATAGTAAACTCTAAACTCATAAAGACAGAATATCAATTACAGCTGGGTGCATAAACAATGGTGGTTTACAAGTTTCTAATGTGCTGTAGCTGCACCAATCAGCATCAGTAACAAATGCTGTTCAAGTGTGATTTTACAATTTTTTTTTCCTAGTGTTTTTGGCATGTTTGTTTCAAGATAGTAGTGCAGAATTATCAAGAACCTGAATATTCATGAGCAAATCTCTATCCAGCCATGGTGGTTTATTACCTGAATTACTGGGGTTTTGGACTCTCTATTGTCTGGTATTCTAATAAACACATTTCAAATATGGGATCTGTTTCCATCATGGGATGAAGCGGTTGATTTGTTAAAGAGAACTTCTATAAACGGACTATTAGAACACTGGATGATGGACGAAGTCCAAAAACCCAGTAATCCTGAGCGTTATACACTACTGTCATAACCTCTTAAGACTCTACATGGTTATTTGTCTTGCCTCACTAACCTATATCATTCAACAAGAAAATTCAGTCTGCTTTACTGACGTATCACATAACATAGCAACATTAACTGAAACATGGCCTGCTGCTAGGTAACTGCTAAATATACACGCACTGCAGCAACTGATTTGTGCACAATACAGGAACTGTGAAGTGTGAGGCTACATAGCAAGGGCCATCAGGGAACGTTAGAAGTGACAGCCAGTGAGGCCATGAGATGCAACTGAGAGTAAACTGCAAGCCAGCCATCAACCAGTGAGTATGTGAGCAACAAAGCAAAAGAACCTCCATGATTAGCAGCCACAACCCGATGACACACCTACTGAAGATGGTAACCAAGCAAAAAACTAGTGAAGACTAGAACAACTTAGCCTTAGCATGCACTACAGTGATTTGTTAAAGTGTGTAGATTAGTGAGTTATAACTGCTTGCGGCTGAGAGTTATAAGTGTACAATAAATCTGATTATCTATTCAAACCCTGTCTAATCACCAAAATGTGATATATTCACAACATATTCCATGTGGGTTTTATAATTCAGAAACAGGTGCTACTAATGTGCTGTGGTAAAACTATTTAAATTTTACCTGCATATTCCCTAAGTACATTTAAACTGTGACAATGGAAGGGGAAGAAAGCAAAGGCAAGGATTTACACAAGCCAGAGGAATGGTGTACAAAGTAAACCAGAAGGCCACACCAAAGCTCAGGCGGTTACTCACTTCGCTTCCCAACACGATGGCCCGGGTCTAGTCATGCGGAATTTGTGGTGGACAAAGTGGCTCAGGGGCTGGTTTTTTCCGAGTACTTCAGTTTCCCCTGCCTATCTTCATTCCACCAATGCTCCACAATCACCATCATCTATCTGGGGATGCTACATTAGGCCAGTAGTGGCAGCAGTACCAAGTGGACTCAGTCTCACCCCAATAGTAATAATAATAATAATAATAGTGAACGAGCAGTTCAAATAAATCTCATCAGTCTCATGAAGCGGCAAGTAACACTGGTTATGTTTAGCAGATGACAGGAAAGAGCAGGATCTGCTTGTGACAAAAATTTGCAATGTACAAAGAATTATGAGTATAGCAGATCATCCTTTAGTACAAGAAGAAGTGTAACTTTACTATCACCTTGGAAACAAATCACTAAGTTGGATACTTAACAACAATACGTTGCAGCACAATGTTTTTGATATCCACAGAAGTAGAGCACTTCCAGCAATGAGGTAAGAAAAGTCATGAAAATGAAGGAAGCTGTGGGATGGAGATGCAGTAAATATTCAATGCCGAAAATTTTGAACAGTGTTAACATTTCAGATACATAACACCTCATGCCTGAAAGGTTTCGACAAAACACAGTGATGCTGTATCTGCAATAGTATTGTTTCTAAAAATGATGCACAGAATTAGACAAGATGCGACAGCAAAGAGATATTAAACTACTGGAGAAGAATGATAGTTCTTGTGGTTTAAATGTTCCCATCCATAAAGGCTGTAGCAATGCAGGTTCTGAGGACAGGATATATTCCAGTAAGCAAATTTCTTCATTTCACTCTAAAATGAATTCTGCTATGCTTATATGGTTTAAATAACAGTATTTACTATATCTCAAAACCATATTTATCATTATGGACAGTATCCACTTTGATGCAATGTGCAAGATTATGTGCATAAATACGAAGAAATCCGACAATGACATGGCTGAACAGCGAAAACCCCCAAAAATGTGTGTAGAGCTGCTGCAGCTGGTGAAAGTACAAGAGAATAAAAAAATTACGAGTTAAGAGTGTACTGCAAGGAAACATGGTCACAGAGCAGTTTGGCTAATCACCTACCACTGTCATTAGAATCCAAATGAAAATGTACCTGTGTAACTAAAATCATATGTAGTAGGGGACACCTTAAAATTGACAGGCACTGAAAAGTTGACCCATATGGATATACTGGGCATACAAACTGCAGTTCGAACTGATTTCTGAAACATTTTCATAAGGGGATTGCCACAGACAATGCGGTGGAACCAATCATCATGAACTTCAATGAATGTGACAAAATTCCAACTCCAGCAGTGAAGGTAACCATACAGAATGAACATTTCAAGAGTATTTACACAGTGCTAGAAGCACTTACATTAACTATTTGGCATTAATCAGCTGTATAATATTGTCTTTGCCTTGGTTAAATGAATACGCTCCTTCCATAATAATTCTCACAACACTGCTACATATAATCCTCGTCTCTCATCTGTGCAGGAAACTTAATTGACTCACCATTGTTCATGCATCCCACAACAAAGTATCAACTTCAAAACCATTACACCAGTGACTACATGAGCAACTGTGTGCCACATAACTTCACACAAGTTTAAATGAGGAACATTCTATAAGGGAACTGACCCAACCTCTGAACAAAATCTGCCCAGCATAACTTCAGGTGAAATTTGGGACAAATGAAGAATCTGACCTTATTATACTTACATCGAAGCCTATAACACATCTTGTTATACAGCAGCCTTTCTTAAGGAGTTCACAAAATGAATGTTAGGATGTAATATCCTTAAAAAAGTACTTACCAAAAATATTTTCCTTAAATAAATGTGTGCAGAATTTTTTTTTGTTGCATACAGTAAATTCCAAATCCATGTACCAAAAGATACAAATAACTCACCCATAGGCCGAGGTGATGGGTGGTGGAGGATAGCTAGTAACCTGAGTTACTCCACGTGCCTCAAACGCGCCACCAGAATATTGGCTTGAAGGTGCAAGAGAAACAAAAAATCAAACATACGCTTATTGGTGAGGCACGGGAGACAGGTTGGAAACTTAGGAATGTTCACAGTATGTATCCCAATGAAAACTTAAAACATAAAATAACAAAACAGAAAGAAATTAACACCCTTGAACACGACATGGTTACACATCTAATTTCAGATCCCGTACAAAACAGCCACATAGCCCGTTTTGCTCCAGGAACAGTCTTTAGATATATCATGAACTCCTGAAAACATGTATCATGATAATTTTGTCAATAAAGTGCAAGTTATCAGATCATTGACTTGAAAGGATTCTGATGATGGCATATGCTGTATAGAACTATTAGGCTTATTTTGGACTCTATCCATCCATCCAAAATAAGTTCTTATCAGATGTCTGGATAACTAACAGTTCATTAAAACAATATGCTAGCATATTTGATGCTGCAGCAACTTCTGGCTCATGCAAGGTACTGTAATTAAAAATATCAGAAAGTTAACAAGTGACAATAAAAATGAACTTCATTCATATATTTGGATCATTTTCCTTCAGTTCCCATCTCATGGAGTATCATTTCTCTGTGCAATTCTAAGAACTAATTCTGGTTTCCTGGAAAGCAGTTAGAGGCTCAAAACTGATTTTTCACACTGCCCACATTATCACTTTCATTACAAGTTTTAATGTGGTTGAGCATTAGGCAAATTTTGCAAAGCTTACGCCAGTATGCATCTCTACCAGCTGGTCTAGAAAGCCATAAGATGGTTTTCTTTGTATTACTTTTCAGTGTCCTGCAGGAAACAGTGGATCTGTTCTGTTAAACTGGAAACATTCAATAATTTTTTAGCCAGTCTTCTGTGATGAATTTCAAAAAGAATGTGCAAAATGGTAAACTCCAGAGGAAAAACTTCATTCATGACCATATTTACTTTTACATTATTACGGAGCACTATGCCTGAAAACTGGAGTTACATAACAATTTTTGGTGACAATCTCCACGTTCAATAAAATCTTAAGGTTTATAAAACATTGGGATTGTCTACTTATAATCGCATGAAAATATGCTAGGCTAAATTATGGAACCTTCAATTTAAAACCAGAGCATCTTAACATCTGGTGGAAGACTTATCAAATTTCAATAAAATATGTGGACTATCCATGCGCAGACAGATATGACCTACACATAAAGCATTCTTCTATTTTTTACTTTGTGAGGAATACCTAAATATAATTTTTTTTTCATAATCACAACACACAACTTGAAAGGGCTGGGGTGAAGCAGTACATTTCAAACTATCATAACCATAGAATTCACCCGGAGGGACAGAGATAAACCAAATTATCTCAATAAGGCTAATTTCAGCCAAGACTGAAACCAGACACTTCATGAGTAAAAAATTATAACAGTCACTATTTGCACCTGCAAGCTTGGTTTGATATTTTTATCTTACATGTTCACTGGTGACACTAACAGTTGGGGCAATTTCATGTTCACTGCAGTTGAATCATTTGATGAATAGGTGTCTCCTATTTCCTTCACAATGAAGAGCCCTGCATAGAAACTAGTAGTCTATAAGGACAATGCCATGTGTAGCAAATGTCATCTTTCATTTCAAGATTTAAGACTCAAAGGTTACATAAGGTGGCACACATGTATCTAGACTTCATACCATGGTACAAGTACCACATTACACTGTATTTCACCCTACTAATTTACTGTGTTTTTAAAAAATAAAACAAAATGTATGAAAATACACAAACTTAATTGACGCAAGTAAACAGATTGGTCTAGGAGTACACACTGAGAAAACTAAGTATATGTTGCTGTCTCATCACCAAAATGCAGGGCAAAATCATGATATAAAGATAGGTAACAATGTTTTGAAAATGTGGCACAATTCAGATATTTGGTAACAATGATAACAGATCAAAACCTGATCCAGGAGGAAATTAAGAGGAGATTAAACTTGGATAATGCTCGCTATCATTCAGTCCAGAACCTTTTGTCTTCTCGTCTGCTGTCCAAAAACATAAAAATTAGAATATACAAAACAATAATTTCGCCTGTGGTTCTGTATGGGTGTGAAACTTGGTCTCTAACATTAAGGGAGGAACATACTACTCTGTCCAAAAGTATCCAACCTTGGGCCGGGGAAAAAAAGTTCTATATCTGGGTGGTTACAATACTTAATCGCCTTCAAAGTAGGCCCCTTGTGACTCCACACACTTAGCCCAGCAGACCTTCCATCGCTGGAAGCAATTCTAGAAGGCTTCTTTTGGAATGGCATGTAGCTACACCGTCGCGTTCTGGATTATGTCCTTGCGGCTGTCAAAACGGCAGCCTTTTAGTGGTGTCTTCAATCTCAGGAACAGGCAGAAATCACAAGAAGCGATGTCAGGAGAGTAGGGAGCCTGGCAAAGCTGCAGAATGCCGTGCTTGGCCAGGAAACCCTGGATCAGGTGTGGGGCATTGTCATGATGCAGCTGCCAGTTGTGTGCGTCCCACAGCTCTGGTCTCTTGCACCGAAGATGTTGGAGGGCTTC